TCTCCACATAAGCGGTCCAATCTCTCTTCTGCGAGGCTCGCACTTGCGGTCCCCAATCCGCAGGTGCGGATATGATAGAAGCAACAAAGTTTAGCTGCTCAAACCAAATTCCAAATCCTTCCGTTAGCCATCCGAATTCATCCCGAGGCCCTTGAAGCCTCCACCAAAATTACCAACAAGTCATATACCAATATACAAACTTATCCCAATCTTCAGAACACTCAAGACAACATCGAAACACCAAATCGACCTCAAATTCAAGCCTGAGAACTTAGAAACTTCCAAGTTCCGCATACGATGCCAAAACCTATCAAATCTCATCCGAATGACCAGAAATTTTACACACACGTCACAAATGACACAAAGGGCCTACTACAATTTTTGGAATTCTATTCTGACCCCGATATCAAAATTTTCACTACCAACTGGAAAATGCCAAATTTCCAATTTCTCCAATTCAAGCTTTATTCTACCACGAACCTCTAAATCACATTTCGAATACGCTCCCAAGTCCAAAATCACCTAACGGATCTAACCAAATCACAAAAATCCAAATCCAAGATCGAATACTAAAAAGTCAAGACTTGGTCAAACCTTTCAAATTTAAAGCTTCAAGTTAAGAATCATTCTTCCATATCTGTTCCGATTAAATTGAAAACCAAAATCGACGATTTACATAAGTCATAATATATCATATGGGGGTAGTCATGCCCGTGAACTAGCGAGCAAAATGCAAATGCTCAAAATGACTGGTTAGGCCGTTACACTCCCGCTACGTTTCTTATAAATTCGCCTAAGTATTTTCTACCGATCGTGAGCACTTTGAGTGTCGTAGCTCTCTCTCGAGTAACTGCCATAATTTACTAGACATATTTTCTCGAACTACGCTAACTCGCACTAATTCACCGCTCATTATGATCGCACCAAGGTTTCGTTATATTTAATCCTGCCTTTAAACTCTCCGTATTGATCTCTCACATATGTTAGAAGTGATGTTGTTTAACAGCTACCTAAATGTGTACTCTCTCTCTCTCTCTTTCGAGCAATATACACGCTAGATAGGCACAGTTAATTGAGAGCCCTTCAATCAACAACAACGAAAATATAGTTGAACAAGGAGAGAAAAATCAAAGGCAAATATATATTAAACGCATTAGAAAATCATCCTCTAATAGGTTCCATCAAACTCTAGATTAGAAAGTGTAGCTACTCATAACCATACTAACAATCATGATAATAATTGAAAGCATTAAAATACAGATTAAGGAAGAACGGAAGAGAAAACTCTTGTGATTCGTTGCTTCCAGGTGTTCTCGTAGCCTTCTTGCCTCTCCAACAATGTCGTTTCCTAAGAAATATGTTTAGAATCCTTTTTATAGATGTTGGGGGCATGTAGGGTTGAAACTACCAAGTCCTAGCCAAAATAGGACGAAATCCGCCCATAGCCGTCTAGCTTGGCGCCTGGCGCCAATCAGGACGCCGAATTTTTTTACTTTTTTGCCTTTGGCGTAAGCACCAACCTGGGCACCAAACTCATACTCTCAACAAATTCTTCTGTTTTTACTTCACTTTGCATGCAAGCTTGCCAATCACTTTAAATTGACTCCTACACATATAAACATCATTATTAAGCTCGAGTCACAAATATTTACGTCAAAGTTAACAAAATTAAAGTATAATACAAAGTAATGTACATGCAAAAACATGAATTTTAGCCTAACATCAAGAAGAATTATGACCACTCTACCATACTATTGATGATTTTAGGCCATTAATGATTATATAGAATGGTCATCCAGCGTACACCACATATTTCAAAAGGCCAACCAAGTTGCTGATCAACTTGCAAAATGGAGTTTGAGGTTGGATGGTCAAGAAGACCTTTTCTTTAAATAATTTAAACCATTTAATCATACTAAGTTGGTATAATTTGCTATAAATATTCAGTGTAAGTAACTTTTTACCATGTAAACAACTTTTACGTATCGAACATAACAGGCACAGATTAAGTAAACTAGATTTGTTTCCCGAGTACTTGCAATAATTCTTATTTTTTAGTTTTTAATATATACACTTTTCAGAAGAAAAAAAAGTATATGCATCTAATAATTAAGCAGTGCATATACCCTAATTATTATCATATTCTATTATTTTCTGTAAATGCGCTTACATCTAGAAAAAAGTCATGAAAATAAGATATATTTCCAACTTTATCTTGATTTATTTGCATCTTGTTCGTGTCTTCTCATTGGAAGATGTATTTAAGCAGCTGTCTTTTATTTTGGGGGGAGACTCGCCCAACAATAGTTGTATGAGGTCATCCTCTATTTTGACAAATGTATTTGTTGGGGCCATTTACTAATATGGAGTTATAAATAAAGAAAAAAGGTGAATTAATGGAATATGGGCCAAACTAAGAGATTAGATATAGATAAAAATTAGATATAAATAAAAATAAATTTAAATTGGACTGTTGTCGTAAAAGCCACAATCTCGCCATCAGAAATAAATTAAAGAACACGAACACTTAAAATAAGAGCCTTTCGATTTTTCTACCTGAAACAACTCCCTAAACAAAAAACCTCCTTAGCACCATTTCCTCATGTGTATTAATGTGAAAATCATTCTGAGTATTAATCATTTCAATAACCTACAGTAATAATAATGTCTTAATTTTGTAACTAAAGTGCATAAATTTAGCAAAAATTTGATATAATAAAGATAACAACCGTTGCTTCCCAACTCCATATCCAACTTCTAGCAAAATATACCTTCAACTTCAAGTTGCAAAACATGTTTTGATAACAACACATATATAAGTTCAGTTATAACTATCTCTTTGAACTGTAATTATACTAGTTTGTCCAAAATATTATTTTTAATTATAAGCTGAATTTCATTAGAAAATTGCACAATCTCAGTATAATTTATTGAGGCAGATGGCCTAAAGCAAAATATGCATGAAAATTCAAATTGCGGAAACTAAAAACGAGATAAGCAATTGTGTAATGTATACCAATTTCAACCATCCCTATGATCAACAGAAATGAATTGCCTTTAGCCTTCATGAATCATGGGTTTTATATTGAGGGAAAAGTAATTTAATAAAAGGGTAAAAAACTAAATTATTTGGCCAAATCTCAAGTGTATTTTAGCCAAAAAGCAATAAGTTAGGATGATCAAATTATAACTTTTAGCTTGTTTTAAATTATTTTAGCTTAAAAGCAAATTAAAATTACTTTTTAGGTTTGTCAAACATTAAAACAAGCCATAAAGTACTTTTAAGCTAAATTAGTGAGCTATTATCCAAACACCTTTTTAGTGAGAAAAATTTATATTGATCTTATTTTAATTTTATAGTAAACAATATGTTTATAATGATACAATTTTTCTTACAGGTTAAATATGGTAGCAAATGTATCAACATGCAAAAGTACTCAATGCTAGTAGCCAAGATTTTGCATTTCTATACCAAATGAGGAGTATTTTACTAATATATATATATATATATATATATATATCAATGAAAAACTTCTAAAGATTCATTTTTAAAGCTTTGATAACTTAAGATGATTTTAAAAAGATAACTATGACAATGAAAGAAGAAGAAGAAGAAGAAGACGACAAATATATATTACATACAAAATATAAATATTACTTTTGGTGATGAGCTAATAAGGTAATTAGGGAGGGAAAATGACTTTCTCGTTTTTCTCTCCCTCCATTTGTCTAGTACTATTTAGCTATTTATTTATTGAATATGGATGAGGGTGGGATCCACATGAATAGCAAAATCACTTTTTCTTCTTTATTTATTTAAATTAATCCAATATCAGCAAATGGGCCCACAACCACACTTGTCAGATATAGAGTGGCCTCATACAATTATTGTCTCACCCAAAATAAAATTTCTCCACGCATTACCTTATCTTGATTTATTTGAATCTTGTTCTTCACTTTTCTATGCAAGATACACATAAGCATCCGACCATGCAAAGTTTAAAACGAAAGGCTTTTAAAACATGTCATAAAAGCTTAAGCACAAAAATTTTGTGGGATAATGATATTTGTGTTATTATAAAAGTTTCTTACTAAAGGTAAAGTGCGTAACACGGAAAAATTTAATGTTAAATTGTTTTCAAATATAAAAATATGTCATTGAGCAGACTAATAAAAAAAAGTGTGTCATTCAAATTGAAACGGGAGCAATTAGTTTTACCTTGTCAACGGATAGAACTTAAATTTTGTTTAAATGTTGAGGCTAAAATAAGTCGCGTTTAACAGGAAGGAGGTTAAACTATATCTGTAGGATTATTATAATTTATACAATGAGCGTTTACCAAATTAAACCTTCTAATTAAAACACAGACTCACAGAGTAATAATCAATAGATCTATGCATTGCACCAAGTTGAATACGTATAATTTAAGTTAGATGTTATAACTCTTAAACTAAACCATGCATCATGTAGAATATTTCAACTACAACCTGGTCGTAACTGCAAAGTGCAAAAATAACCGCGCCCACTGGAAAGTTGTTGCAAATTCTCATTGCTAAAATAAAACGAGCAAGAGAATTGGTTAAGTCAAAATGGAGATGAAAGCAACTAGAAACAGCCAAAATGGCCAAGTAAAAACCACGGGAAGCGCAGCCGAAATGGAAAACTCCCTCAACGTAGAGTAGGCGTCTTGTCGGCAACTGTCTCTTTCTCACATTAATTAATAAATAAACACGAGTTAGATAGAGAAGAAAGGGAAACATGTGTTTTTATTACTTTTAGTGAGAGAAAGTCAAAAGTGTGCTGTTTTTCCTGCGTACACACACTCTTAGCCCACGCAAATACACATAATATAGACAGTTGTTGTATACGCTTCCTCGAGCCGTAAACAATCTTTTAAAATAATAAAATTACACCCATTGAAAAGTCTTCTCATATTTCCCGTGTTTTGACTTTGAAAATCTCGTTCTATTCTCTCACTCATATATAAAACCAGAACCAAACCCTCTCATTCTTCAAATTAACCAATTCACTACTCATCTCTTCTCAACAACTTCACTTTCTTCATCAAAAGAATCCTCTTGATTTTGCTCATATATAGCTCATTATTAAATCTATAAAAAGCTTCTGGTTTATTCCTATCTTCAAAAGATCTCAAGTTTCTCCCTTGAATATTCTTAAAATCTTGGAATGGATGAAATTCAAGTACCTCCTTATTTTATCTGTCCAATTTCTCTAGAGATGATGAGAGACCCCATCACAGTCTCAACAGGAATAACATATGATCGAGAAAACATTGAGAAATGGATATTTTCTGCCAAGAATAACACTTGTCCGGTTACAAAACAGTCCCTCACAGGAACAGATTTGACTCCAAATGTCACTCTCCGACGATTAATCCAATCATGGTGTACTCTCAACGCTTCCCATGGCATCGAAAGGTTTCCTACGCCGAAGCCTCCAATCAGTAAGCCCCAGATCATGAAACTCCTCAAAGAAGCAAAATCGCCTGAAATGCAAATGAAATGTCTCAAGAGCTTAAGATCCATTGCTTCCGAGAACGATGCTAACAAACGCTGCATGGAATCCGCAGGGGCAGCTGAGTTCTTAGCTTCTATTATTATAAGTAATCGGAATAACGAGGGTTTTGGATCGTTGAAGGGTACTAAAGATGAAGCGCTAAGCATCCTTTACCATCTTAAATTATCTGAACATGGATTGAGAACACTTATTATGGGTGGAAATGGAGAATTCATCGAGTCGTTGACACGAATCATGCAGCATGGAAGCTATGAGTCTAGGGCATACGCAGTGTTGCTACTGAAAAAAGGATTTAATTCATTTGAAATTTTAAGTTTAAAGCAAGAGTTCTTCACCCAAGTGGTTCAAGTTTTGAGTGATGAGATCTCCCAGAAGGCGTCCAAAGCATCATTGCAGATTCTAGTGAATGTGTGTCAATGGGGGAGGAACAGAGTGAAAGCAGCGGAGGCAGACGCAGTTAGAGTTTTGGTTAATCTTCTCCTCGATTCGATGGACAAAAGCGCTTGTGAATTGATGCTAATGTTGTTGGATCAGCTTTGTCAAAGTGCAGAAGGAAGAGCTGAGCTTTTGAAGCATGCTGCAGGATTAGCCATTGTTTCCAAGAAAATCCTTAGGGTTTCTAAATTGGCAAGTGAAAGGGCTATCAAGATTTTGCATTCAATCTCCAAATTTTCGGCTACACCAAGTGTTCTTCAAGAGATGTTGAATTTAGGCGTCGTGGCAAAGCTTTGTTTGGTGCTTCAAGTTGATTGTGGAAGTAAGACAAAAGATAGAGCGAGAGAAATTCTCAAATTGCATGCTAAGGCATGGAGGAGTTCTCCTTGTGTACCCCTCAATTTATTATCAACATATCCATTTTAGAACTTAGGAGCAAAAAATTAACGCTTAGGGAGAAATTGTATTAGAAAAATTAGTAGTGGACTAATTTTTGCGTACATAAATTATTCTTTTCAGAAAATAGAAAAAAATGGACAAAATAGTCCATGAAATTCAATTGTTCACATCCATCTTCAACTTTTTGCTTCATTCATATTCGGCTCGAGAAGAAAAGCTAGCTGGGTAAGGGTAGATGCCGGAACACAACACTCAAAAAAGAAAAAAGGAAAAAAAAAAAGCTTCTATCTTTTAATTTATAGGAATACCAAAGAAAAAAGTGAAATAAACAAACGATTCTACTAATTAATTTTAAATTCCTAACCAACTACTTATACGCATATTATTTTCAGATGGAAAGTTGTCTTTCATTACTTTATCATACATCTCTCACTTCCTTAGCATCCCATATTTGACCTCTCTTTCTCGTGGTCCAACTCCACGATTAGAAGTAATTACTATTTTCCATTTTATAACTTTTTCTCCTTTTTTTTGTTTTTTTGTTTTGCAGGAGAGGAAAACAATTCATTATATTTTCTAATGACATGTGTAACTTTAAATACTCCATAAATTGAGTATTTAATTCGTCACACCTCATCTGTTGAGATGTTTAATAAATTAATAAATGGAGCCAAATTTGAAGAACTCTCTGTGCATTTTGACCTATTTGTTGTTATGTTCTGATCAGGAACAATAGAATATTCAGTACAATAAATGTATACTGGACCTGCGCTCATCTCTCAACACCTTCAAATTACTGACTTCCCAATTGCTTTACTACATAGCCGCTTTTGTGGAATGGAATTCAGAAGTCATCTCTTAAAATAAAAAACATGGAAAAGGAAAAAAAATAAAAAGAAGAAATCTTCGTAAATGTTGTTTTACTTTATTTTACAATTTTAATAAGTGTTGAGTTATCATAGGAAAGAAGTAATATTACGAGGATCCTCTCTTATGTTTCTTTCGCTATGTTCAACTGATAAAGATGTATTCTTTGGTAATGTGAGATTATTTTATTTTGGGTTTGGGTTGAATTTTTTATCTTTGTCTAAATAGTTTCAGGATTGTTTAATTATACCACAACTGTGGCATTAGTCTCATATCAAACACTATGTGGAATAATAATTACGAGATTTATTATGGTATAATTTTTATACCGAACACTATGTGGGATAATAATTTTGCAATTACTAAAACAACAAAATGACACGTTTGCTATTCTTCAAGGCTCTTCTCCCATAATCTTTTAAGGACGCTAATGTTAAAAGTGAAAAATAAATGATAGTTGGGTACGTAGGCCAATTAGCCTTAATGTAGGAAGAATCCAGTCGATACAAAAAATAGAATTCCTCTAAAGAATTCTCTCTCTGAACCAAAGAAAGCATTACCCATTTTCCTTTTTCGGAAGGGTATTGTTTATTCGTAAAATGGTATAGTTAGATTTATTGCGTGATTTATAGACAAACAAACTGATTTGATCCAAACAATAAATAAATTAAATTAAAAATAAGACTTAATGCTTCCGAGGACAACAGTGTAAGCACGTGATTTTTGCCCTATATGAGAATTACTCCCAAAAAATCCAAAAATAAAATG